GGGGAAGGTGGTGGCTGGAGCCATTGGTCCATGGGACCAGCCTCTCCGCACACAGGGAACTGGACCCCGGGCCCAGCCTGGGGTGCCCCGCAGGCCCGCCATGCAGGGGGAGAGGGCCGCCTCTGAGGGGCCCCTGTGGGGCTGGCGTCCTGGGGTCCTGGAGGCCCCCCGGACTGCTATTTGATTTAAGCTCTGCGGCGGAAACAATATATAGACATCAAGAAACCAAAAAATAGAAACAATTAGAAAGAAAACTCTCCTAACCCTTTCTGGTCACCGGAAATACACCGTAACCATTTGGGTGTGTTCCCTCAGTCTGCTGTTCCTGTGTCACCCAGTGGGGCCATGGAGACATCTGAACAAGCCCCCCCACTCGACTGCCAAGGACAGGCAAGCAGCCACGGGAACGCTGCCTTCCTGTCAAACATGTGAACAGCCCTGGCCGGTGTGGCTCAGTGGATAGGGCATCGGCCTGCGGACTGAGGGTCCCAGGTTCGATTCCGGCCAAGGGCACATGCCTGGGTTGTGGACTCGATTCCCAATGTGGGGCGTGCAGGAGGCAGCTGATGAACGATTCTCTCTCAGCACTGATGTTTCTCTCTCCCTCCCTCTTTCTTCCTCTCTGATCAATAAAAATGTTAAAAAACAAAAGCCCGGTGAACGGAGCAGCCTCCCGGCCTCTGCTGTCAGGGAAGCGCCCTGTGGGCTTCCCGGGAAGCAGCCGCTGCGGTGGTGGGTGTTCTGGGGAGAAGGGGCTGTCAGCTCGTCCGCGCTCAGTCTGGTTTGCCTGTGGTGGGTGTTCTGGGGAGAAGGGGCTGTCAGCTCGTCCGGGCTCAGTCTGGTTTGCCTGTGGTGGGCCAGGGCAGAGGAGCCGGGGCTTCCACTCGTAAACGGGGCGGCCGTTTTGGGGGTCCGAGTGTCTGGCCGCTGGTTCCACTGCTGTGGGACACGGACCCGAGTCCCAGATGTGGGTCTGAGGCCGGCCCGGAGGGCAGTGCCGTGGGGTCCCAGGCCCGCGGAGGCCTCCCCCCAGCTCAGCCCCCCCCCCCCCGGGGCCGCAGGCCTTTGCTTTCCGCTCCAGGTGCGTAGTGACCGGCTCTGACCGGCTCTGGGCGCCCACCAGGCTAATAGTCTCTGGTTCATCCATCCAACAAGTACTTACGAAGGCAGGCTCCTGGGCCGGCCATTGTTCTGGGCTGGGGACGCCGACGAACAGACAGACAAACCCGGTCACGGTGGGAATCACATCCGTGCCGTCTGCTAGGCAGTGGGGAGGCCACCCTGGTCGAACCCGGGGCGGCGGCCCAGCTCCGGGCAGAGGCGCACAGAGCAGTGGTCCCGAGAGGCCCGGGGCGCAGGCTGCGGGCCGCCCCGCCGGTTTCAAAGCTGAAATTCAGACTGGACGGACGGTGCAGAGCTGCTGCGCGGCGCCCGCCCTCACCGCTGCAGGGGCAGCCTCGCGGCAGGCGCTGCGACCGGGCGCCTCGGGGGCGCGGTGACCTGAGCAAGGACCGAGCTGGACCCTGAGTCCGGCTCCGGCCTGGGGCGGCGGGTTGCCGCTGTGCCGCCCACTGCTCCCTCGTCTCCTTTGGGAGCCCCTGGGTGCAGCGAGCAGCCTGCCTTTCCTTAAACCTCCTTCCTTCACCGTCACACCGCCGCGGTCCATGCTGGCCTCACGGTCTGTGGTAAAGACGCAGGAAGCGAACAGACGCAGCCTCCTCCAGGGCCCACTGAGGGCCGCACTCCCTGCCCCGCCGGACGAGGCTGGCCTACAGGTGCGAGCGTGGCCTGTGCGCCAGGAGCCCGAATGGATTCCGTTCTGGCTCAACCGCTTACTTGCTGAGGGTTTGGGGAGATTACTTAACCCCCTTGTTTGCTCATCTATAAAAAGGGGAGAGTAACAAAGGGTTGTGATGAAAAGTAAATGAGGTTGTGCACGTCCTCATTTGTAGGGCCTGCCTGCTCCACAGTCGATAGTCAAGAAAGGTTGGTGCCTGGCCAGGTTGCTCAGTGGGTTGCACGTCATCCCAGACACCAAAGAGTGTGGGTCTGATTCCTGGTCAAGGCACAAATCTAGGTTGTGTGTTTTCTCTCAAGCTGGGGTGCGTAAGGGAGGCAGCAGATCTCTCTCTCTCTCTCTCTCTCTCTCTCTCTCTCTCTCTCTCTCTCTCTCTTTCTCTCCCTCTCAAAACAATGAAAATATATCCTTAGGTGAGGATTAAAAAAAACAAAGGCTGGCCATTGCTGTTGTCAGGGATTGTGTGAGTCACCATTTCTCCATGAAATTCAAGTTTCTTGGCTGTAAAATAAGGAAGTAGACAGCTTCTAAGGTGCCTTGAGGGGACCTGGGAGATGGGAGGAGAATCCACAAAGAGAATGTCTGTGAGGCCAGCGTGGAGCGCGTGGCCCAGGGAAGGCGCCCAGTGAACGAGAGCCCAGTGAACGAGGGGGTGGGAGAATGGCCGGCACAGCGAAGGGACGGCCTGGCTGTCCAGCCTTCCTCTCTCGCCCCAGCCTCCACCCCCTTCAGGGACGTGGGCTTCTCTACCACCTCCCCCTTCTCCTCCCACCCACACTTCTTTCAAGGACTGCGTTCCCCAGCCCGCACTGTCCTTGTCAGCTGGGTGGACTGTGGCCCCCTGATTGGGAACGGGTCCAGGCCCTGGTCGCCACCTTGAGCTAACAGCTGGAAATCTCAGTTACATAATAGCACTATCTCTCCTTCCTTGGCGATCTCCTGGCTCACTCAGAGACATCTCCTCTGTCCCCATGTTGCTTTTCATGGAATTAAGGCCCATATCATATCTGTTCAGTGATAGGGTGTTTTCCCTCACACCCTGTCCTTAAACATAGTCAGCTTCTCCCAGAATGCAGCTGCCTCCTTCACTCCTCTCAGGACCCTGAGGAGATTTTTTTGCTTTAAAGAGTGCTACCTCCCCAGAGGCTCCAGCTGTGAGCGGCTAAGAGGAGCATCCAGTGAAGGAACTAGAGGGTTGAGCCATCTATTCTACTTGCCTTTACCCAGACCAAACTCCACCACCAAGATGAAAGTTTCCACCATTCCTTTTTTTCTTCTTCTTTTTAAAATATATTTTATTGATTTTTTTACAGAGAGGAAGGGAGAGAAATAGAGAGCTAGAAACGTCGATAAGAGAGAAAACATCAACCAGCTGCCTCTTGCACACCCCCTACCGGGGATATGCCCGCAACCAATGTACATGCCCCTGACCGGAACCTTTCAGTCCGCAGACCAATGCTCTATCCACTGAGCCAAACCGGCTTTGGCCCTCCATTCCCTTTTTAATGCCTTTCTTACTCATCACCTGTGCTTTCTTACTAATCCTTGTGGGAAGTTCTGCCAGAGTCTGACCTCAGCCTCTCAGGCTGGTACACTTGGGATGGACTTGGAATGTTAGGGAAAAACAAAGATTCTGATACTTACTACCTTTCTTCTCTCGCGGCCATGGAAAGGGAGCTCCATTCCATAAGCCCATATAAACCCTCAAGGAGCGTGTGTGCAGCAAAATGCCGTTAGTATCCGTTCTCAGAGGTATGGTTTGATAGGCAGGGCAGAGAGAGAGGTACACTCAACTAGCATTTAAAGTTGAGTAATTCACAACAATTTTTTGAGCACTGAGGTGAAGTTACATCTTATCTGCTTGAAAGGACCAGGAAAAATGCTATAAAGCGAGAAAGATCTAACTTCAGAATTGGGGACTAGAGGGGGAGAAGGGGGAGGTAACATTCTTGCTGAAGACACAGCCTGAAAACAGGTTCAGAAACTCGAGGTGAAGATGAGGATGAGATATCATCGTTTTCTGAGGTGACTGGATGAGGAGCTATATCTGGGGTCAAAAACGGACTCCTAGAGATGGAGGTGGGCAGGGGAGCAGGGAAGAACATGGAGGAAGTTTCTTACTTGCCTCTCTTTCTTTACAGATGCTACCACACTTCAAGAACTTCAGGACACTGGTGAATCCCCAACATCTGATCATTTATCCCCTCCTACTCCAAACTCTGTTTATAGTATTCCCTCACACCACACTGCTCTTCATTTAGGACATAGTAGTCCAGACCATCCTAAACCTACAAAAACCCATCAGCCCAAACACCATTGCAATACCACACACAATTTCAGACCGATTCACAAATCAATAGATAACTCTAAAAACTCTACAACGCATCATGAAACTCCTCCCACTTCTGAACAAAACCCTAGCAATCAAGGAAAAGACCCAATTATCCGGAATGGACGCTCTGCTGAATCTGGTATCACACATAAAAAATTGTCCAATGCAAAATATCCAACCCCAAGACCCAAGAGCAAAACAACATGTACTACCTCCAAAGGAAGAACATCAACCCACGTTCAACATAGCACATCAGCTCATGAGACCACAAGAGCCCCAGCAATGCCTACGGACTATGCTCAACACAGCACATCGGCCCATGTTCCACACAGCACATCAGATCATGTTCAACACAACACATCGGATCATGAGAAGACCACAAGAGCCCTGGCAATGCCTACAGACCATGTTCAACCCAGCACATCAGCTCATGAGACCACAAGAGCCCTGGCAATGCCTACAGGCCATGCTCAACACAGCACATCGGCCCATGCTCAACACAGCACATCGGCCCATGTTCAACACAGCACATCGGCCCATGAGAAGACCACAAGATCCCCATCAATGCCTACAGGTCATGCTCAACACAGCACATCGGCCCATGTTCAACACAGCACATCAGATCATGAGAAGACCACAAGATCCCCATCAATGCCTACAGGTCATGCTCAACACAGTACATCGGCCCATGTTCAACACAGCACATGGGCCCATGAGAAGACCACAGGAGCCCTGACAATGCCTACAGACCATGTTCAACACAGCACATCGGCCCATGTTCAACACAGCACATCGGCCCATGTTCAACACAGCACATTGGCCCATGTTCAACACAACACATCAGATCATGAGACCACAAGATCCCCGGCAATGCCTACGGACCATGTTCAACATAGCACATCGGCCCATGAGAAGACCACAAGATCCCCGTCAATGCCTACAGGTCATGTTCAACACAGCACATCAGATCATGAGAAGACCACAAGATCCCCGGCAATGCCTACGGACCATGTTCAACACAGTACATCGGCCCATGTTCAACACAGCACATGGGCCCATGAGAAGACCACAGGAGCCCTGACAATGCCTACAGACCATGTCCAACACAGCACATCGGCCCATGTTCAACACAACACATCGGATCATGAGATCACAAGAGCCCCAGCAATGCCTACGGACCATGTTCAACACAGCACATCGGCCTATGTTCAATACAACACATCGGCCCATGTTCAACACAGCACATCAGATCATGAGAAGACCACAAGATCCCCGGCAATGCCTACGGACCATGTCCAACACAGCACATCGGCCCATGTTCAACACAACACATCGGATCATGAGATCACAAGAGCCCCAGCAATGCCTACGGACCATGTTCAACACAGCACATCGGCCCATGTTCAATACAACACATCGGCCCATGTTCAACACAGCACATCAGATCATGAGAAGACCACAAGATCCCCGGCAATGCCTACTGACCATGTTCAACACAGCACATCGGCCCATGTTCAATACAGCACATCGGCCCATGTTCAATACAACACATCGGCCCATGTTCAACACAGCACATCGGCCCATGTTCAATACAACACATCGGCCCATGTTCAACACAACACATCAGATCATGAGACCACAAGATTCCCGGCAATGCCTACTGACCATGTTCAACACAGCACATCGGCCTATGTTCAACACAGCACATCGGCCCCTGTTCAACACAACACATCAGATCATGAGAAGACCACAAAATCTTCGGCAATGCCTACGGACCATGTTCAACACAGCACATCGGCCCATGTTCAATACAACACATCGGCCCATGTTCAACACAGCACATCGGCCCATGTTCAATACAACACATCGGCCCATGTTCAACACAGCACATCAGATCATGAGACCACAAGATCCCCGGCAATGCCTACGGACCATGTTCAACACAACACATCAGATCATGAGACCACAAGATTCCCGGCAATGCCTACTGACCATGTTCAACACAGCACATCGGCCTATGTTCAACACAGCACATCGGCCCCTGTTCAACACAACACATCAGATCATGAGAAGACCACAAAATCTTCGGCAATGCCTACGGACCATGTTCAACACAGCACATCGGCCCATGTTCAATACAACACATCGGCCCATGTTCAATACAACACATCGGCCCATGTTCAACACAGCACATCGGCCCATGTTCAATACAACACATCGGCCCATGTTCAACACAGCACATCAGATCATGAGAAGACCACAAGATCCCCGGCAATGCCTACGGACCATGTTCAACACAACACATCAGATCATGAGACCACAAGATCCCCGGCAATGCCTACGGACCATGTTCAATACAGCACATCGGCCCATGTTCAGCACAACACATCAGATCATGAGACCACAAGATCCCCGGCAATGCCTACGGACCATGTTCAACACAGCACATGGGCCCATGAGAAGACCACAGGAGCCCTGACAATGCCTACAGACCATGTTCAACACAGCACATCGGCCCATGTTCAACACAGCACATCGGCCCATGAGAAGACCACAGAAGCCCTGACAATGCCTACAGACCATGTTCAACACAGCACATCGGCCCATGTTCAACACAGCACATCGGCCCATGAGAAGACCACAAGAACCCTGACAATGCCTACAGACCATGTTCAACACAGCACATCGGCCCATGTTCAACACAGCACATCGGCCCATGAGAAGACCACAAGAACCCTGACAATGCCTACAGACCATGTTCAACACAGCACATCGGCCCATGAGAAGACCACAAGAACCCTGGCAATGCCTACGGATCATGTTCAACACAGCACATCGGCCCATGTTCAACACAGCACATCGGCCCATGTTCAACACAGCACATCGGCCCATGTTCAACACAGCACATCAGCTCATGAGACCACAAGATCCCCGGCAATGCCTACAGGTCATGCTCAACACAGCACATCGGCCCATGTTCAACACAGCACATCGGCCCATGTTCAACACAGCACATCGGCCCATGTTCAACACAACACATCAGATCATATTCAACACAGCACAGTGGCCACAGAGCCAAGCACAGGAGCCTCAGGACAGGCTGCAGTGCACACAAAGAAGACCACATCTACCAACGGGAGGGCCACACCAAACCCAGTAGAGCCTACAGAAAACCCAGGAAGAACCACAGCTGCCACAGAGACTATAAGGCCTCCAGTCAAGGTCACAGGAGAGAAATCTATCAGTTCTTCCACTGCTGGTCCAAATAAAACTGGTCAGGTGCCCACTGGCTTGTCTGCCCTCCCCACTTCTAGCTTGAAGCTGAGTTCTATCATGTCAGAAGCCCCAGTCAACCAGAGCCAAGGATACC